CTGTACTCAGTTTCCTCCTTTCAGCTAGTTAATAACTTTGGGAAGACCCCAGGTTTGAGATGAGGGTGTAGAAATACACTTCTGTCTACATGATCTGAACTGCATGGAGAGAAATGCCTAGTGAGCAAAACTCACATTTCTACAGTGTGAAACTTTCTATTCCATATCCTACTGGGTTTTTTTTTTCAAATGCAATTAAAAAAAAAACTACAGTAGTTAATTTGTGAATGCTGGATTGAAAGGACAATTTATAATGGTGGGTTGATTCAGAATGAATGGGCAGTTGAGTTTTGTATAGATTTCCAGAGCAGTTTTAAGTTATAATCTGCGCAAGTGTGTAAAGGTCTGTGCAGATGAACATTAAAAAAAATTTTTTTTCCTTTAACATCCTAGTTGTAGTCTTGGGCCTAATTGTATGATGTGGTGGGTGTTGAACTTATTTCAAACAAAATATTTTGTTTTAAAACAAGAGAATCCTGTTGTAGTTTTAAAAATACAGGAGAAAAATACATACTGCTTATTACCAGTGATATCCCGTGTTCCAGTGATGAGGAATCCCAGTCAAAGTTTTTGTTGAACGATTAAAAATTAATAATTCTTTTTTTTTCAAATAATTTTATTAAGAATTATAAATGAAAAGCACAAAGCCAATACAAAGTTCAAAAAATAGAAACAGAAAAATAAGAAAGAAAAAAAGGGGGGAGGGGTATGGAAAAGAAAAAAGAAGTAACTTCCCCCTTCATCCCAGCAATTTTAACAGTCTGTCACCATCTCTAAATATAACGTAATCTCTCTTCTTCCCATAGCTCATCTGTTAAGTAAAAAAACAAAATCCAAATGCTTCGTCAATCGTTCTTTGTCAGCAAAAGTCCAGTAAGGGCAACCAGATATAACTGTTTTCCTCTTTTAGCCCTGATCGAACAAACCAACCTTGTATACCTTCCCAGAGTTTTTAAAAATATTCTTTAACCCCTTCAAAGAGAGTCCCAGAGGTAGTTTGTTGGTCATCTCTGTTTCAAGACAAAAATCTTTCAGACCGTTAACAAGTTTCTTTTGTATATCAAATAAGTAGAGCTCATCCTTTTGCTTGTCATCTGTAATAAAGTCCTTCAAAACTATAACAGAGCACTTTTGTATATCCAGTAAGAAAAATTTATCCAAATCAGTTTCCTGGTTTGATATCTGTACATGTCCTTTAGGGAATAAGTCATCCGTCAGATCCATTTGTGTTACATTTAAGTCCCCATTTCAAGTAATTTCACAGACATCCATTGCAGTTTGTTCTTGTTCTATAACTTCATTACAACACGCGCTGTCCATCTTATCAAGCAATTGATCCATTCTATTTTAACCTTGTAATTTTAAAATTTCAATAAAATATTATAAAAAAAAAGCAATTGATCCATTCTATTAAGAAGTTTAATAGAGAGATATTCAAAAGTTTGCAATATAGACTTCTGCTACATATTCTTTATCTGCTGCATATTCTTTATCCTCTAGTGTCCAACCTTCAAGGTCTCCTTAATGTAAAGAAAAGCCAAAATAGTCTCCTTATTGTAAAAAAAAAAAAAAAAAAAAAAGTCACAATTTTCTCAGGAGGAGGTATCTTCTAATTAATTTAAAGCTATAATTCCAAATCCCTATGGCCCCTTAATCCATTGTTAACGTTCCAAAATCCATATACTAAGCACCCTTTTGCTACATAGTCCAAAAAATCATAGATTTTAAAAACCTTTAAAATCAAATTTACACCATTGTCCTCTAAGGAGGAAGAAACCCATCCAATGAATACAGTAAAACCTTGCCAGTCCAAAGAGTCTTAATCTCTCCAGTAAACCTCCCTTCAAAAAAAAAAATAATTCAAAAAAGTGATTAAGAAATGAGGCTTGGTTGAGCTTAATATCCATGAAAGGCTGCTTTGTGTGTGTGAGCTTGATGAAATTCCAACTCCCAGCTACTTCATTCATAGGTTGATGACAAAACAGCAGAAATCTGGAGAAATGTTGCTGGTCCAGATCCAGCAGCGATTCCCCTCACAAACACTATCCTGCTAATGAGCAGGATGTCAGCTCACCATGGCACTCACAGGAAGTTAATTAATAAAAATTAATAATTAATAAAGTAATTAATAAAATTAATGATGAATTATTGATTATAGTTATTATAGTTATTATAATTGCTATAATTATATTATAATTATAATTATTAAGTAATTAATAAATAATTCTTTCTGATCATAATTCCTATCCTTGGACTATCTTGATATCCCACAATAGTGGAATAACCAAAAATATTAATGTATACTAAAATCATCTGGAAAGGAGCATTGAATATAGCCTTGGGGCCAATTCAGATGCAATTGATGTTTTCTGCTTGTGATAAAGATCCTTAGATGCTTACTTTACTTTTTTTGGAATTTGAGATGATTGCCATCAATGGGCTCTGCAACTTTCTGATTCCTTTTGGGGGCTGTCATCTCTTTGAGCTGAACATTAGGCTTATTGTGCAAGCAGTGCAAAATACGTGAAGCATTTCATTTGCTTCTTTCTTGTTCTGTAGTACTAGGTTTGCAGTGTGCTGTTCGTTTCTAAAAAGCCACTTGGAAATCATATTATCTTCATGATTATATTATTACATCGTGTAGTCAGTGATGTCATGGAGGGCAAAGGAAGCATTCTTACTGACTTTGTCCTTGGCATCTGGGGAGAAGTCAGGAATGGATTGTCATCCCAAGCTAGCCAAGCAGTTCTCCCAGCCTTGGCACATCCTCTGTCATTTTCAGTGCCTGCCAGCACAGAGTAGCAAGACAGCATATGAGCCTTCTTGTGAACATATCTTGCCCTCCTTGCCAAAATCTCTCCCTAATGGAGGGTAAAAAATCATCTTGCCCTGTTCATCGTTGGATTCTCAGTGCTGACTTGCTCCCAGTTATCTTAACTTATTTACTGTCTCCAGTTACTTGACATGGAATCTATCATGAGGCCATTCGTGTCATAGCTTTGGACTTGAGATACAGTAGAATAAAAATAGAATGGCGGCCTTCATCATCAGATGCTTTTTCTGGTGGCTTTGGTCTTAAACATGTCTACCGAAAACATTCCAAGAAAGCTTACCGTAATATAACTTGGTAACTAGACTGATGTTTCATTTATGAGGACAGTGCTAAAATATTCTGTTTATTATAGCTATCAGCATGAGCATCTAAAGCTGATAATAAGAGGACTGTTCTGCTGAGCCAGTTCAAAGATTACCTCGTCCATCATAATGTAATCTCCCATAGTGGTTAGGTAGAAGTCCCTGGAAGATCTTCAAGGTGGACATATGCTGTCTTACACTTTCTATTCTGCAACTGCTACCAAGATATATATTGCCTTTTATTGAAGATTAAATAGAGCCATGGTGACTGTCTTTTTCTCCATGAATTTGTGAATCCCCTTTTAAAACTGTCTATTTTAAGTGTGTATTGATACAAAGCAAAAGTTGAGTTGAATGCCTAGAAAATGTTCACTTCAATTCCATGCTTTGGATTTGTAGGAGGAAGAAGCAGAGGTGGAAAAGTCTAGAATCTGGAGGGCTTCCTCCTGCTATACTACAAGAGGGTCCTTCTTTTGGAACAAGCCAGCACTGCCCAGTGGCTTTCCCCAGAGGGCTCTTTTGCCAACTCTTGCTGAGTGCAAACTGAACTTTTCACAGAGATCTTTGGTTAGCATTTCATCTGTCTGTTACCACTGATCTTGCTCACAGGAGTGAGCAAATCTATATGGGGGTTGTTCAGAAAGACTCGTTGCCACTGTTCATATCAGGGAAGATAAAACTTTGCCTTGAAGCGCATAATAATTGTGAGTATGCGTTGAGAGGTTCTTTGTATCGGTTGGTGAAGTCCTGGGGGGTTGGATGGAGTTCTGCCTGCAGCAGCTTAGCACAGATCCAAGCATTCTGATGCCTTTCAAGCCAGCATGGCTAATGGCAAAGGATTGTGGGAGCTTTAGTTCAGATGTCTGCCTAGTCCTGCAGGAAGCAGAGAGGGCTGGGTAGCTTTAGATGCAGGGCTGGTACAAGAAAAGATTTGTTGCTGGCCAGCTTAGATGTGTTATCTGGTAGTAGTGGAGATCACTGTTGCTGTAAGTACTGTAGTCAGACCATAATATTTGAGGAGGAACTTGGTGGGCATTAATACTGCAGCTTCAATTGTAGAAAGGCAGGTTTTGAATATAGCTTAGAATGAAATGTAAATCCTCAGTTCAGAGGCTGTTTACATGAGGGGTTATCCTGTATTTAATACTTCCTGATAGATTTGCTCTTTCAGGGCGTGTGCATGAAAAGATAAATTGAAAGATGTTTACCTATGATGAGACCCAGGGCTTTTGTTTCCAGTCTCTGCTGCGGTCACATTGGTGACAACTGTATTATTCTCTGAGGAGTGGGGATCCCACACAGAACTCTCCCTAGAGATGAGTCCATGACTGAGCAGTATTTTGTTCATCCTTGAGCTCCAGGCTAGCAGCCCCAACTGTTCATTTCTTAAAAAAGGAAATTTGAGTTAGAAGTACAGCTTGCGGAAGTGAATTCGTTAATTTGAACCACAAAATGTGAGGTGGGGGTGGCAAGGTGTCAATTCCATTGTTTCTCTTTGAATACTGTATCTCCTACTGTTGTCTCCCCTTCCCTGCATCCTTCCCTGTCCTTTGGCTGCCTGTTTTGACAGATGTCACTGGGTGGAAGAAGGTGGAAGCAAGTGTTTCCTGTCTGATGACAATATAACAGGAGATGGCAGATTGGGAGGTCGAAGTTGAGGATGTTCCTACAACTTGTAAGAGGAAATGGGAAAGAGATTTGAAGGCTGCTGGTGTGGTTTTGGCACTGGTACAATGATCTTATGCACATCAGCTCTGAGAACACACTACTTAGTTTGGAATTGGTGTTAGCATAATTTTTTAAGGAATAACCTGTGATCGGCCTTTGTATTCAACCATGCATTTGTAGATAAAATAGTTACATATATGGCTAACCATGATGTAGCTTTCATATATGCTGGGTTCATTGGATGCCTTATAAAATCCTCATGTGAGCAACACAAAATTGGTTTGATTTGGTCTCTGTTTCAAAGGGTGTTCAGCCAGGCTTCTATAGTATTAGGTAAAAATTGGTGAAAGCAGCTCTAAAATAATCCATTCATGCAAAAAAAAAAAAAAAAAGTGCTTCCTTTTCCCTCCCTGCTGGCCTGTCTATCCAGATCTTCATCCCAAGTAAACATGCATCCAGTTGTAGATCTACAGTGAAATCAGCTGGATCTTCACATGAAATCCAGCCCCACTGAAGCCAACTCGTAGGAAAGAGGGCACAACAGTGCAAGCTTGGTGCTTCGGTATGCAGGAAATAATTATTTCTGTTTTCATTTCATTGTTTCAAATTTCAGATTTGGGATTGAGGCACTGAAATAAAACAAATCTGTGTTATAGTTGACTTCAGAGGTAAACAAAATCTCCTTTAAATGCTATGTGAAGGTCAGGTGTGATGGTAGGTAGAATCATGCAGGGCTAGACATGGATTGTCTTGAGTTAGTTAGCAAGGCTCATTAGCTCTTGGATGTGGAAGATGAAGAGCCAGCACTGAAAAGAAAGGAGCCACTTAAAAGAATGGAGAACAAAAGCTCCATAGCTATAGAGGAAACTGGTGGCACAATTTCTGGTGTGTGTGAGAGGAATCAAAAACATAGTAAATATTTTTGATGCTTTTTAACAGATTGTACAAAACAAAGGCAAAGTACCTGGAGAGAAAGCCACTAATTGGCAGAATCCTTAATGGCAGTGACATGCGGCATTTTAGCAGAAGTGATCTGTACTCTGAACAGCAACAGGTGAGAGTATTTTTTCCCTTAATCGTCCTAATCATGTTACTGCCAAGAGAATGTATGAATTTTTAAAAATTAAATGCTATTGCTATTGGCATAATGTATAGAAGTTCCTAAAAGGGATGTCTACTCTATAAACATATGGCAGCATCTGTATTTGTTTGATTTACCTTGGAGGTTTTACATAATAAATGTGTATTCCTAGAATGGTGCTCATTTTTTGATAAGATCTTGATGACTCCTAACTTGTACACATCTGCAAGTAAAGGTGTGGAAATACATTTGTTTCCTCTTCTAAATAAGGCTAGTCTTATATGTTACTCTTCACCTAGGTGAAGAATGATGCCGATGCATTATATTGCTCATTCTGCATTGACATAACTCTTTGGTGTTACAGTACTTATATTATGAATATCTTAGGAGGAGTGTTGCTTTCCCATAGATACTACTGTTGGAGACTTTAATGATGTTCTGCTACTCATGTAGTCTCTAGTACCAAAGGAGAGTCCTGGAAAGATAAAGTCATGTGGAGTCTTGGCAAAGACTAAACTCCAGGATTAAATACTAGATTATATAGTGGAGCAATAGTTTATGCCCATGTATATTTTATATCTCCTCCCTGTGGAAAATTGAAACTCTGGTTATAGGATATTATGTATGATGATAGCTGTATTTCCCTCCTGCTGCTGCCATCCAGTTAGATTCTCCAATAATTTTTTTCTTTCTTTGGTTTTCTGTTTCATACAGCTGTAACAAAAACCTCTTAATTTGGGGGCGTTTTATACCAATATGTATTTAAAAGGAAGAAATACAGTTTTCTGTTTGAATAAGGGATACCAGCCTCCTTCTCCAGAGTTCTTGATCACAAGACTATTGCAGGTCTGCTCTTCCCAAAAAAAGTGTGAATAGTTGTTCACAGCTATGGCTGTTTTGTACATCATGATAAGCTGTAAGGCAACTTGGAGACAACTGTCTTGTTCCTAGAACGCACTGAATGGCTCTGACTGAGAGCAGAATGGTTGACAAACTTTGATTAGCTGAGCTTAGCATGATGGGAAAATGTGGGGCTTGGGCTTCACCTACATGGAAGATACCAGACAACAAAGCCATTAAGAAAGTAAAGCATATCATGCTTTGTTCCTTAATATAGTTTGTCCCTTGTTGCATGATTCCTGCAGCTGGTTTGTGAAATAGGATTTGAGTGGGTATATTTGCACTATCTTAGCTTTATGTCATAAATGATATGCAGATTGGTGCAGTGTTTAAATCATATGGAATGATAAAATAATGCGGTGATACGGATTTTATATGAAACCTGATGTATCTTATGAATCGCTGGGACTTGGGCAGCCTATAAATTTAATAAATAAAATAAAAATCCATCTACTGATTTCTGTATATTGGAAAGTCATAGCTCACTGCTTAACTCCATATGAACATTGACTTAATTCTCATGAGGTAAACTAAAGGTAGTTAGCTACTCTGAATTAAATGTACTGGAATATAAATGAATGATCTTAGTAAAGAGATCTACTCTAAATGTATTATTCTGCTAAAATGTATTATTCTGCTTTCTCCTTTATGAAATGAACTGTTCAGAGGGATACGGTGAAGTCCTCTGATGGAACTAAGTCACTTCACGGTATGCTGGAATTTCCAAGAGTTCTCCCAACGAAAGCCCCAAATGCTCCATTTCTTAGTCCTGCTGCCAGGTCCATTAGCAATCTTGATACTGACTGTAGGACACAAGCACTAGTTGTCCCTTATTCATCCACTCCAAGGCATCTGTCAGGTAAAAGAAGCCCACATGCCAGTGCCAGAATGCCTGTATTGCCTAGAAGTATTGGTTCCTTACAACATCTGGAGGACACTGGTTTTGAACCTCAGGAACTGAAAAGATCAAAAAGTATTTCAGCTACTAGGGCTTGTCCATCATATGAAACATCTGTTCCTTGGTATCAACTCAGTCTGACTGACCATGAAGAAAGTCCCCAGCTGTGCATGCAGAAACCTGCAAGAAGCTGTTCTGTAGTTGAGCAAATGAGAAAAATGTCCTCCTTCCAGGCTGATTACTGGGCATGTGCAATACCCGATTCTCTACCACCATCACCAGACCGTCAGTCCCCCCTTTGGAATCCTAATAAAGAATATGAGGACTTGCTTGATTATACCTATCCTTTACGGCCAAAATATAAGCTTGCAAAAAATCTCAAAGATTCCACTGTTCATGATTCTGGGATTGATCTTGACAGCCTTTCCATTTCCCCTGAGAGTACCTTGAAGTCTATGAGTATGTGGGACCAAGAACACCAAACCATGGAGAGCCCCTCTGCACAGAGGCTTTCAAGCCCTTTCTTGAAAAAGCTTGAATGCTCAGCTCCAGTTTCTCAATACAGAATATCACCCTTTGGAAAACTCTCCCTGGCAGATGGAGGCCCTTCTGCTGGTGGAATTGCCATTTCTGGAGTGATGTCACCTAGTTTATCTCCTGGGTGCCCTGAGCCACCTAATTCCACTTTTGTAATTGAGCAGGGCCGCAACAAAAAGAGACATGACTGTCTTCTGAGGAGAAAAGCTGCCAGTGGAAACTTCTTGTGCTCCACAAGTACACTGCCTTTACAGAAAGAATGTGCCAGTGATGATGAATACCTCTCCTTACCACCAAGACTCAAGGAGTTAGAGACATTGGCGCAGCAACTAACTGATCTTACGCTGACCATAAAGAAACCGGAACATGGCCAGGTTCAAGATGACTCCCCCTGCATCAGTGTGAATGGGGAGCGGCTTCTGTCAGAGGTTCAGGGAGATAGTGATGGTAATGAGAGCCAGTGGGAATTGTATTGTGACTCTTTACATACATGTAGTTTCCAAGAACCTGATGAAATAGACATTCTAAGGGATCGAAACAACAAGGACCATGAAAGTGAGCCAAGAGAAACTGCTAGCCCTGATTTTCTAGAAATGAGATGCCCAGAGTTCCTTTGTGTCAAGCAAAAGAAGGACCATTACTCTCTTGCACAGTGTATTAAGGTAATTTTTTAAAATCTAAATCTGAACATCACCTCATCATGTTTAAATTGAACCATACTATGTTTACTTGAACGTAACTACATTTTCATTGAGGTTCAGTGTCTTAGATGAAGCTCATATCACACTGTAGATCACCAAAGTGAAGGATTATAGATAGTTCTGAAGGGTTAACAGACTTTTTCACACTACTATAAATTAACATTTCATCTTGTCTTCTGGGCAACATATTTTTTCCTTTGAGTTTGATATATTCTTTTGCACAGGAATAAGACTATTTGTTAGGGTTGGTTTCCCAGTGAATGATCCTGTTCAATATAGTTTACATTTAATTTAAATGGGAAAATGTTACTGTTCAGTGTTGCAGTACCCTCTGAGTCCCTAGGGATATATAAATACATAAATTTCAGCAGGGAGTATAATAAATAGTCAATAAATAGTGGCTATTTATTAACAAATCCTGTGCTATTCTGTCCAAATCCTATTCTATTAATTTGAGGACTTTGTCCATTGATGGACTATGGAGTTTCCTATATCCTTAGCTTATCACAAAGTAATATGACAGAATAATAAATAGAGCTGTGTAGGGATTCTTGAAGAGCTGCTCTTTGAAGCATCAATTCTGCATAGCTATACATCCACTTTATTTTGGTGGCAGTATCCCAGAATATTGTGGATAAACAATATTGCAAAGTCCCAAGAATCTTGTGGTTCTCTAGAAAGCTCTTGTCACTGACCATTTTCCCTTTCTGCCGTGTGATCCTGTCAGTATGCTTCGTTTCTGAACTTTGAATATATGAAGGCCAGCCAGCTTCAATTTCCAGTGTGTGTTTTCAGCTGCAATTAGGAATTTGCTAAAGTTTCCTCATAATTTCCCATGCACTTTTTTCAGTGAGAAAAGTTCTTCACAGAAATCTGAAACAGTCCTGTTTGGTGTTTTTTTTTTTTTAAATTTCAGAGATGCTTGGATTTTGCTGTTTTGAAATATCTAAATAAGTATCTTGTAGAAATAAATGGGCGCTCTCAGGAGTCTTGCAAACATTGTGATATACTTGGTAAATATTCCTGTTTCCTTGCAACTGATACAACAATCTGTGGTAATCTTGCAGTTTAAGTTGATCAAATCTAGTGGTTCCAAATTTGAAGGTAGCTTAATGAATACTTTTTTCTGAATTATGCATATAGATATTTTGCTATCAGCTGGAAGAGCTCATTCGTTGGCTGCATAAAGTGGCAGAGGTTATAGACCACTGGATTCCTCCCAAGCCGGACATTGAAAGTGTTAAAGCATCATATCAAAACTACCTGGTAACTGCATTCTCTCCTTCATGAATTTCAATAATGGGGTTTATTTTTTTTATTACACTTGTAACAGCATGTATATGCAGCTTGAGTAATACGCAGGCCTACAATTGTTAACCCTTTCTTGGAGCCCTTTGTGAAATATATTGGAAAGGCACGTTAAGTTATCACATATATTTCTTTGCATTGGCAGAACTGATGCTTAAAAGTGGCAGAGATGGCTGTAAAAATAGTATGAACTCTATCAAAAGTATTTAGTAACTGTTGGCTCAGTTAAACATCTTCTCTTAAGTTCCTAGTCCACATAGGTAAACACTAATTTCTCTCCTGGGTTTCCTACCATCATAGATATCAAGTCTGCCAATCAGGAATGATGTGTATTATAAGTAAATTATAAATCTAAGCAATTTAAAGCAAATTAGATACAATAAGCCTTGAGACCAAAATACATAAGTATGCTGGAAGTAGAATATGTAAGTCGCAGGTGAGTAACTTGTGGTCTTCCCCTCACCAAGGCTTTTTGCATAGTCCCTGTCTCCTACTCAACTGCTGCTAATTTTTTATAAATTGAAATTAAATATAATGGGTTTAATAATAATCTGAATAAAGGGGATTGGGAGGAGGTGGGCATCAATGTATGGAGGGGAAAAAATGAGTACTGTATTTAGAAAATGCATTTTGCTCCAATCACCCGCATGCTTTCCCTCTTGCCCTTTGGTACTGTGATAGAACCCCAAACTGACATAGGACACCAGTATTATATAAAATACTTAAGAAGTCTACTTATGCAGTGATCCTTCCTCTTTTCTTTGCTCTGTCTAGATATCATTCCCCAAATCTACTTTAGAGAATTTTGACTCTCCAGAGAAGATTGTGAAGGCTGTATGGTGAAGTTAATCTATTGCACTTATAGCTGCCGGTGGATTTCACTCACTCTGTTGAATTTAAGCATCCTCCCTTTGAATAATAGATAATTTGTTAGATTCTTAAAAAAAAAGTCCATTACCACATAAATACTGTTTAACAAGTCAATTAATTCTTGTTATTAGGACCTTGTTACTATTATTTTTTCCTGCTTTGTGTATTACATTTCACAGCATCAAACAATTTTCTTGACAGGAATTCAAAAAAGATTTAGCTGGGCACCAAGAGCTGACTGAAGGTGTGTTGCATGATGGTGAAAAACTTCTCAAATGCATGTCATCAAATTCACCAGGTAAGGAGTCAATTACATATAATATTTTGAAAATACAGGTAATCCTCACTTAACAATGGTTATCAGGAATAGAATTTCTGTCACTAAGCAACACTATTGTAAAGTGTGATGTCTTGTGACCATGCCGCTTAGCGACAGAAATTCCAGCACTTCCAGTAGCCATCATTAAATAAATCACCACAGGTCATTAAGTGAGGACATTACACGGTCACCATTTGTGACCTCCTGCTAGCTTCCCCATTGACTTCACTTGCAGGAAGCTGGCAAAGAAGGTAGCAAATGGTGATCATGTGACTGTGGGATGCTGCAATGTCATAATTGTGAGCCAAGCACCAAGCACCTGGATCACAGTCGTAACCAGAGGGATGCTGTGATGGCCAGAACTTTGAGGACTGATAGTACCACTCATTCAGCACTGTCATATGTTTGAACGGCCACTGAACAAGTTGTTAAGTGAGGACCACCCGTAAAAGGGGTTCTGCCGCGCTTAAGGAAACTTGTTATATTTTTTTGAATACTGGGATTTCTAGCTCTCTTGTTTTAGAGATACTGAACATGATCCAGCTAAGGATAGTATAATACTGCATGTGGTAATTTGGATTTAGGTCCTGGGGTGTTTGTCAATAGGACTTACTTCTAGATAGTTATAGGATTTCAGTCTTAAGTTACACTAATTTCAATAAGTAGATTTGTGGTATAATTCAAAGCAAGTCTACACAGAAGTAAACCTAATTAAGGATACATTCCCTTGTACTTGACTATTGGATTATAGCCTCAGGCACATATTTGAAATCATTGAAACAAATGTACTCTTTCTCTGAAATGCCAACAAATTCAAGTTTGGGTGCTTTGGGCAAACTCAATGTTTTCAAAATTTAATTCATTACTTGTGAAGGGTTGAACTGCAGAACATAAAAGTATGTGTGGCCATTACAGTTTAACCTGTATATTGTAGCACACATTTATTAAGTTATTTTGATATTCAATTTTTTTTCTTCAAGCAGCTTAAGATCCTTTCCCTCCTCCTCCCCATAATGTTGTCTTACAACCATCTTTAAGGGAGAGTAAGGTGGGTATGTTCACACATCATCTGAAATTGAAAGAAAGCACATAATGGCTTAATGTTCAGACTAGGCCTGTCCCATTGTAGAAGTATAGGAAAGAGGCAGAATATTTGCCATTTCTAATCAGTGTATAGCTGAAGAAAGAAGCGAGATCCTGTAGCACTTGCTCTTGTAACCCTAGTATGGACATTTAGAAAAGCGTGCTTATATCTGCTGCTCGGCTATTGTATGCTATAATTTGTACCCTAATCTTTGCTTAATAGTTTTACAGAAAACTCTTGGCTTGATTGCAAAACATTCGGATGTGCTTAAAAGCCACGCTGAACGATTGTATGAATCTATTTTAGCAGCAGTACATACTCTTGATGCTGGTTTGAAGAAGCATTGTGATGCTCAAGAAACTGCTGTCCACACAGAAACATCTGAGTAAGCAAAAGAGGGAAAGGATGCTGGGAAGGGTAGATATTAAATAATGCATTTATCTGGAAGTATATATCTGGAAATCTTGTAAGGCCATGTGGAAGTTTTAGGGTTGCCTTCCTGAATCTTGTGCCTCCAGAAATGGTGAAACAACTCCCCAAACTCCACAGCCAGTGCGGCTTTGGCCATGGTGGTCAAGAATGCCAGTTGTTACCCTAGCAAAGCTGAAGTCTAGTGAAAGTGAATGAGACAGCAACATCTGTTTCTGGCAAGCTTTGACATTAGAAAGAATGCTCAACATTTGACAGAATATTAAGAATAAAGTGACTTAAGAATAATGAATGAAGGCATCACAGGCTTTCTCAGTATTCATTTATTTTATTATTCTTTTATCTTGCCCTGCTCTTTGGATAGGTTGTTTCTCAGCTTCTAGGTTTATACAATGCCACATGGAATAAGTGGACCTTTTCAAAAGTAAATGTAAGATTATGTATGTAAAGTATTACTTGAAACAAAACAATGCTGCATCAGCATTTTAAGTTTTTTAAAAATTTAGTGTGTGCTTTATGTGCAGTACAAGCCTAATTCAAATAATATACCCCATTTCAGATGTGTTTCTCAAGTAGATGTACAAGAGCAGCAGTACACAGCTTGAAGGTAGTTAGGGGGAGTCTGCAGGTGGATCAACTTCAGTGCAGTCTGAATGTGGCATTCCAGCTTTTTCACTTGGGCTGTAGTTTTGGGACCATTCTCCTTGTTTAGCCGACAGTCATGTGATGCTCAAGCTGATTGGATCCAGTCAGTGCCTAAGTGGGAGGTTACTTAACTCAAAATGTGAGAACAGAAATAGAAATCGCTATTTATGATTTTATTTTAGATAAAGCTTCTAATTGATGCGGAAGAATGAACTAACTACATTCATAAGGAGCGTGAGGAGGCTTCCTAAACAGAGGAAACAAGAACTTTTCCTTCAAACTTTTGATGTACTATAGTGACATCAAGCTCGGTTTCCAAGTTCAGAAGGTACAGCAGTGAGCTTTGTATCTGGCACCAAAGTGTTGAAGAACAGTGTGGAAGGGAAACTTCTGCTGTTGGAGTGACAGGTGGCTTAATGATGAGTTTCTAATTTTGATATCTACAGTACTTGCTAGGGCTGAGCATGCTTCAGAAATGATTCAGAAGTGTCTGTGTGAGACAGATTCCACTTGACCCTCAAAAAAAAAGTTGCAGTTACTTTGAAAGTCAAATTATGAATGGACTTCATAAAGCAGCAGCATTTCATTTTCAGATTTGTGTTGCAGCCTGAAAAAAAATACAGGCTGCTATAAAGAACAGCAGGGAGATACTTTTTTATGGGAGGTCCAAAGTGCTTCCGAATAATAATCAGAACATGTACAGCCCTAGTGTTTGTTTTGTATTTTTTCAGTGAATTAACTATAAGTCTTCAGTGCCTGTTAATTTGCCCCTCTATAGTTTTGCTGATGTGACAAATTATATGGAAGCTACATTTCAAATAAAGCAACTTTATTATTTTAAAACATGCACTGGAAGTAAGTGATTTCAGTAACAGTGTAAGTAGTAGTCTGTTAAAGCTGCAATGACATGGCTAATATGTTACTTAATTAATTGTGAAAGATTCATGCTGAAGAAGTTACAAATCAGCGTTGTAAACTTTAAGGGCTACAGGCACTGTTCACCTTTGCTTACCAACCACTAACTAGATTGTAGTACACCTTTTCTATGTCATCGATACATACTTTAATTATAAGTACCTGGAGAAGAGAGGTTCTATATTTTCATTATAGAATAAAAGAGGCTCAGCTTGTAACAGAAAACCTCAGTTTAATATTATAGTATGAGTAGACTTCTGTATACCTTCTTTTGCTGAATCCATAAGCTTTGTATCAAGGATGATACTAGCTCCTGTTTGCACATAATCCTGAATGCATATTAGAGTTTAAAAAAGCAATTCTGTGCATTCAGATATAAAACTCCTATTTTTCATGATTGGCTAGTAACAGAATGGTTACCATATTAATCACAGAAACCTAGCCTTTGAAGTTACGATTTCAAAGTCATATCAAGAACAATTGATAAACTAAAAATAATGTCCCCTTTCTGGCTGTTCAACTTTCCTTCCCACTGGAAACAGTAGGAAGAAATTACAAGTTTTTTTCTGGGGTGGGAAAAATCCAGTATGACCTGTTAGCTTTGTTCATACAGGTAAACCTGAGCAATGGATTACTGAATTAATCCAATAGCCTGAGTTTGTATACCACACTGACTTGTCACACTCTTAAGTTGCTTCTTCTCAGGCATGAGCTGTATTGTCAGGGTAGAAATTAAGTAATATCTGCATGATGCAGATACTGCAACATACATTGTTTTTTTCCACAAAATTTCCTACTTTGAATTAATGCATTTTGGAAACTGCTAGCAACAATGATACAATTAAATTGAAGTACATAAGACATGGTTCTTCTACTAATCTGCAATAGTGGCATTTCTATATGTAGGACTGTTCAGAAGCTGAGACTGATTCCATATCTACTTTACACTGACTTTTTACAATTCCATGGTAGCGATAGCCAAGAGAGGTGGGACTGAAAAACACAAGGTGATGAAAGCACATCACACATGCAAGCAAAGCTGGATTTTAGACATTTTAAAAACATTCTGGTATGTTTGTTTTTGGATTTATATTTGTTTCCCTCCTCTAAATGGCAGTGTTTAGCCATGATAATCAGAAGGGGCTCTTGAAGGCCAAAGCCACGGAAGGGGTATGACCTGAAGCATTGAAGTCATAGTTTGCTCACATCAGAGCTGAGTGGTCGTGAGAACTTACTCCATGAAAACTTAAAACTCACGTATTTTCAGACATTTACAGAGCAGATTTACCTTTTCTCAAATCTGTTGCCTTTTGTAGTTTTAAAAACATAGAACTAGAACTGACACCATAAATTGGAAGAAAGAAGTATAGGGAGTCACTCTGTTCAGAACATATTAAGAAGCTATTGTTTAAAAAGAAGCATGGATGTAGTCTAGCAAATAAGAGTATTGAGATACGTGTTCATTAGTATTCTAAGCATCTTCTGAACTTCAGAACAGTGCATTTTATTTTTAAAATAAGTGTGCTCAGTTGAAAACATTTTAGAGTTTATTACAGGTAGTCCTCGACATATGACCATTTGTTTAACAACTGTTCGAAGTTATGACAGCACTGAAAAAGTGACTTACGACTGGTTCGCATACTTAGAACTGCTGCGGCATCCCCACAGTCAGGTATTCAAACTTTGGGTGCTTGGCAACTGGCATAGATTTACGACGGTTGCAGTGTCCCAGGGTCACGTGATCACCATTTGGAACTTTCCCAGGACTTCCAACAAGCAAAGTCAATGGGGGAAGCTGGATTTGCTTACCAACCGTGTGATTTACTTAATGACCATGGCAAAAAAAGGTGGTAAAATCAGGCGTGGCTCGCTTAACCTCGTTGCTTAGCAATGGAGCTTCCAGTCCCAATTCTGGTCGTAAGTCGAGGACTACCTGTATTGCCCAAAGACCTCAGTACTTTCAGAATTACCCCAATTTCTCATTTAAGGATTGTAGCTGACATTTCTTTCTGAATTACTTATACTACAAGACTAAAAGCACATTATGAAGCAACTGACTAAACATTTCTCATTCTGAAGTACACTTTATTGTTGAAGTTAAAGAGCAAATTCAAATATTCAGTAATTTCAATCTTCTAACAACAGTACTATGAAGAGTTAAGGTATTATGCGGTCCAGTTGCAAATCACTAATATCTATCCCATAATGGGGATGAAATTTTCTTAGAGATTTGCTAATACATTTGCCTCTCAATCACATCTGAGTGTTTCCTTACAAAAAAGCGTCAATGACATTTTTAAATTAATTTATTTTGTAAATAAGAGATCCTTTTATCAAGTTGGTAACTTTAAAACCCAGATATCAGGCACTAATGGATTAGTTTCTTTATACAAAAGTTCTACATGTGGTCACTGAAGCAATATCCAAGCCACAATTTTTGCTCAAATTCACATATGTATTTAAATGTTTCCTCCCTGCACAAATGTATATTTGTCTTTTGGTCAGCTGCTTTATTACCATGCCTACCACTGCAGCTTTCTTGTGCCTTTGTGCATAACCAAACCAACCAATAAATTGCACGAAATTTTATTAAAGTCAACAGTATTGATTGTGAGAGAATGGAAGTAACATTATTTAGAAAAGACATAACATACCATTAGAGTTAACATCACCTTGTTAGCTTGAAGTCATTCATATGTTAGGAAAAATACTGTTTCCTTTTCTATGACAGAGCAAGAGAGACAAATAATTTCTAAATGGAACCATTCAGAAATAGATTCAAACACAATTAGGATGCAAAGGGTAAGAGAGATGGTACATTTAGAGTGATTATGATTCTATAAACAATGCTATAAGTTGTGTTCCAAGTATAGCGCACATGCCAGAAACACCATGACATTTTAGTCATGTAGGCCATATTTGCTAGTCATTTGCTGGGCTGGGCAGGTATAGTCTATAAGGAAGTGGTTTTAAAGTGCCAATACCGCACACAAAAAGTTCACTGGGGGCACAATGCAAGCCTTTCCCCTTATTCATAAGAATTAAGACAATACTTATCACCATACAGTTTGATATTACTTCCAATAAGTACAATATTTATTAAACATTTCTTCAGTTTGTTACATTTTGTGCAACAAATTACAAGAGTCTGGAGCCACAAATTATATGCAGAGTATGAAGAAAAATCAGCATCTGTGATCCAAAGAATATTATGGAACTGCAACTTCCTTTTGAATGGCAACCCCCCTCCCCTTTGTGAAATGCTCTGCTGTTTCAAAAGGGGGTTGCCAAGGGAGGTGCTGTTCAAGAGTCCAAACCTGCTTTGGCTGCACATTGCTATTTAGTGCTGATCTCAGAATCCCGGGTAGTGTGTATTCTTTCCATTTTCTTAGAGCTCTACATGGAACTAGCAAATTAGATCTTACATAGAACACCTTACTGAACTTTATGCATGGAAAAGTGACAGCCACAATTGTGCTGTTGAATACAAAAAAGGCTAAACTTCATCTTCAGAAGACTAAACCTGACATCTAAACGTGCCAATATGATCAGAACAAAATAATGTTCAAAGTTTAGCCAACCACAGGAAACGATCTGGTATAAGAAAAAGTAACAAAGATTACACGCATTTATAAACCAGCACACAAAAGGTTTAACACATTTCTGAAAATGAAGTTAGCTTTATTGAGTCAGGGGAATAAAAAAGTCAGTATTGACCGTTTACAATCTCTGACCTTTGTGGAGACGATAAGGTTCTGTTGTAGTGCAGCTACATACAGTACAATTCAGGCATTTTTCAGTTGGGTTCAGATTTCAAATTCATTGTTGAGAAAGAGCTGGGAAGGAAAGTTTTAGCAACAACCTCCACTGGACTGCTTGACTGGAGTGCTCTGAATTTTAACATTGGATTTCTCTGCACCGCCTGCTGTAGCTCCAGGACCCATTCGTTTTTTGATCTCAGCAGCCATGGTCATGAAAGACTGTTCTACATTTGTTGCATTTTTTGCACTGGTTTCCAAAAATGGAATCCCAAGGGAATCTGCAAATTCCTGTAGAGTAAACACATCACTATTAGTTCTATTATCCAGAATTTGGAAAAGAATGTAGTTACTCTATATTTAGCTAATTATGAACAGGAAGCATCAGAAGCAGTTTTACATATCCTCACTTAGCTTTAACTATTATTAGTCTGGTTTTCATCCAGCCTTTCCTCCAGAAATTCAAGGTGGCATATACAGTCCTCATCTTCCAGGTTTATGCTCACAACAACCTTGTGAAGTAGGTTGGACTGAGATATAGTGATTGGCCCAAATTCAACCAGTGAAGTTCCATTGATAGACTTGAATGTGGGCTTCCCAGGCCTAATCAAATGTTTTAACCACTATACCTCACTGGTTTTCAGCATTATACACGTTATAGCTTATTATTATCATAGTGGAGTCAACAATATTTTTCTGTTTCTGAAGATTTAAGCTGTTTAAAAGATAGGCATACCTTTGCTGTTGTATAGTCTACTACTTTCTTTGTAGTCAGATCACACTTGTTTCCTACCAACAACTTGTTAACATTTTCACTGGCGTAACGATCTATTTCTTGAAGCCACTGTTTTACATTATTGAAAGACTCCTAAAAGATAAAGGAATATATTAAATCTAGGCTCAGCCATTTGCTATAGCGCATCTGGATTCTAAGACAAATCCCACTGCATTTTAAACACAATTCCAATACTGCCCACCTCTCTTCTCTGCTTCATAAATTAGGAATTTCTGGCTTGAAAATACTTTTCTTTTATACAAAGATATACCAGAAAATTAAAAATAACTTGCTGAAGCATCTGGGATGGGGGTGGGGAGATAACTTAAAATGCAGCAAGACAACTTACAAGGAGACCAAGGCTTCAAAGTGAAAGGAAGTACAGTCACCACTGAATTCAATCATCTATTCACCTAATTACTGTTATATACAAAATTACATTTCCTTATGACACGCTCATGCTATTTCTTCACATGTCCAACCAACAAATGCTTACCTGATCTGTAACATCATACACAACTATGATGCCATGAGCTCCTCTGTAGTAACTAGAAGTAATTGTTCGAAATCTCTCTTGCCCTGCTGTATCCCACTATGAAAACAAGAAAATGTGGAAAAGTACTTAAAAGACTGCATCCATTCTGGTCTGATGACTGGACAGATTAAAAGACTTTGGTAATACTACTAGTCAACTGACTATTCTGAAATACCTACCATAGAAAGATCAGATTAAATAAAGATTGGATGAAATTCCCTAAACAATGAAGCAGAATCCATATTTCACTGAAATCAACTATAAAATGCTGTTGGTGATTTAATATTAGGCTCATGGCTGTTAAAAGGATCACCAGAAGGCATCAGTAAAGGGTCCTTTCTTGCCATCTCTTTTAAACCTTTAAATAAAACCAAATTCTGATGTTTCAGGGTAAGCATTCCAAAAAATTATTTCTGAAAAGGCAGCTGGTTAGCCTTCTGCATTTTGAAAGTCTCTTTCTTATTCCCTCCGAGGAGGAGGCTCTGTTGAATCCAGGCTTCATTTGTCAACAAATGGAGTTCTTTTGTTCATGGAAGGCTTATCCTGGATATACCCTCACCTTCTGGTAAATTTACCACAAAGTACCTTCAAAGTACAAAACACAGAGGAACACTTGTCATGTATTGCTGTACGTATAAAACTACTCTCTTCAGTCCAGTTTTGCTGCTACCTGACAGAGTTTGGAACTGGCCACAATGCAGGATAGCTTATGGCATAACTAGCCTATGAAACTTACAGGAATGCCCTAAATAGTGCAGCCTGCCGAGATTTACCAGTGGTACTTACTATCTGA